CTCCTTCCGAGTCAATCTGGTCAAAGGGGCTGCTATCTAGAAAATCCTTCCACAAATCCCGATAGTATCCAGTAACCGAGGAAACTCCTTACTTCTGTCACATTAACAGGTCTCTCCCAATTCACACTGCTCTACTTTCTGGGATCCACATAATACCATTTGCGAGATCACATGACCCAAGAACGTAATTTGATTGAGCCAAAACTGACACTTACTAAACTTCGCATAGAGTCTATTTTCCCTGAGGGTTTGTAGGACCATCCTGAGGTGTCCTCATGTTCCTCTCATTTCTCGAATACATAAAATGTCATCAATGAATACAACCACAAACAGTCCAGGTATGGACGAAACACCCTATTCATCAGATCCATAAAAGCTGCAGGAGCATTGGTTAAGCAAAAGGCATCACTAAGAACTCATAATGTCCATAACGGGTCCTGAATGCTGTTTTTGGTTATCAGTCTCCCTAATCTTTAGTTGATGGTAACCAGACCTTAGATCTATTTTGGAGAAGACCTAGCACCCTGCAATTGATCAAATAAGTCATCGATCCATGGCAAAGGATACTTGTTAGCACTGTTACCTTATTTAACTGTCGGTAATCTATGCATAATCTGAAGTACCATCTTTCTTTTAACAAATAAAACTGTGCTCCCCACGGTGACACATAGGCCTAATGAAACCCTTATCCACCAATTCTTGCAGTTGTACCTTTAACTCTTGCAATTCCCGTGGTGCCATTCTATAAGGGGCCATGGATATGGGGGTTGAACCGGGAACCAAATCTAAGTGAACTAATTCTCTATCAAGTGGCAAACCAGGAAGGTCTTCAGGAAATAGTTGGGAATTCCCTCACCACCAAAATATCCTCTAACCTCAATTCACTAATTCTAGTGTCACCACATAAGCTAGATAAGCGGGACATTGTTTCTTGAGTAGTCGCCTGGTAGTCATCGCTGAAATAACACAAGAAGGAAGGATACGACGCTCTCCACAAAAAACAAACTTTGGTTTCCTCGCTTCTTAAAGGTTACCTCCTTACGGAAACAATCCACAGTGGCATGATGCAAGGCTAGCAATCCATTCCCAAAATCACATCAAAATCGGGCATGTCTAGAGGAATCAAATCTACCTGCAACTCATGCTCACCAATCCTCACCACACTACGTCTATACACATACTCAACCATTAAAGAATCTCCAATGGGTGGATTGCTAATTTACACTTAAGGGTTCTAACTTTATTTGCATGCACAGCAAAATGATATGAAACGAAAGAATGTGTAGAACCTGGATCAATAAAAAGCGGGCCTCATGATCAAAAACAGTCAACATACCCGTAACCACGTCTGGGGAGGCTTGAGGCATCCTGCTCGGTGAGAGCAAAGACACGAGCTTGAGTCTGAGGTCGCCCTGTTCCTCTCTGTCTAGCACATTTCTACCGTAACACTACCCTGGGCCCTCTGAACCTGAGATCTCTGTTGTCCTTGAAACTGGCCCCTATTTCTCTGAAATTCTGCGACTGAATGAGGCATATCACCTTGGGCCAAAATGGGACAATTTCTCTTGTATGGCCAAACTGCCCACAATGATAACAACCTGAAGCTCCTTTCTGACACGCCCGAGTGGAACCTCCACAACTGTACAGGGTGGTCGTTGGCTCTCGCTTGCACCACCACTTTGATATCTATTAGTGAGACCTCATATTCCAATTACTACTGTCTCTGAATGTGACTCTGAGCATATCTTTGTATCCGTTGAACTGCTTGAGGTCCCAGAAAAACACCCTCTCTTTTCTGATTTCTATTACTAGGGCCGCCAACTGTCCATTCACGGTACTACGTTTCGGTCTTCGTGGCTCTCCCTTATCAAACTCTCCCAAATTACTCTCAGTTCTCAAGCTATCTCTGTCAATTTCCCAAACTCTGAGCAGCAGTGTGAGGCACTATTGTTTATCCTACCTCTGAGGCCCTCCTCGAATCTCCTACATTTTGCTCTCTCATTTCCGACTTAGTGGGGCAAAACGGATAACTCAATAAACTTAATCAAATATTCCTCCACTGACATATTTCCTTGGGTTAGTCTGAGAAACTCACTCTGCTTAGCGTCGATACCCTACAGGAAAATAATGTCGAAGAACTCCTGACGGAAATTGGCCCAAGTAATTGTTGTCGGATCCCCATATCTAAGTTGTACCGATCTCCACCAATGACGAGCCCTGCTTTAAGTAGAAAGGTAGCAAACCGTAGTTTTGGTCATCAGTGCACTCCATCATCCAAATACTGCGTCTAATTGATCCATCCAGGAGTCGGCATCTGTGGGATCTCCCGTCCCCTCAAAGTCTGTTGCCCCTAATTTTCTTGCTCTCTCTATAGTTTTTCCTTCTCCCTGAGCCCATGCGTCCTATCCTGCATTACCCTAGTCATTAGTTGAGCTATCCTATTCATAGTCAGCTCCATGTTATCCCCATCACCTTGGAGCCCTGTATTTGTTCATTCACTAGTCCTTCCTCGACATTTTGATTTTCGGCATCTGATTCCTCCTGGGGTCCCTGAGGTCTGACCTGTGGGCATCCGACTCTTCTACTCTCTCTTCCTAGGCTCACTCACCCCTTGAGCACTCTAGGAACTAATAATCTCTCGGATTTCGTGCGAGGCTGCCACGTTGACTCATGTGATATCTACAAACATAAACAAATTTGTTCTAAAATAAAACTCATGGACGGAAATAAACTTCATTAAGGGACAAATTGGCATGCGTAATTTTAAAAAAAAATGCCCTTAAAAATCGAAACCATGCTCTGATACCAAGTTGACACAACCCGTCCCGAATTTTTCTCCCGTAGGATCCGGGTGCTCCCACAAGACCGGATACCCGAGACGTGCCATGTAGAAAAACTGCGAAACCTGTTTAAAGACATCATCATCTTTCGTTTTACAAAAGAAAATAGTTAGGGAAACTTTGGTATCAGGTTTTCCACTTATACTACACATTCCAAAATATGAAACAAAAAGAAATACATCATGGAAAACATGAGTTCTTGAAACGAAAGTCCAGATTTACAATGCGACATAAATATAAGACCCACATAAAAGATGTCAAGCGTGGCACAACCCTGAGCGGAGGCCACTGCTCGGCACGATCTCCGGAAGGTCCTGGTGGGGGGGAAAACATTTAAAAAGGGGTGAGCTAAAAATACTCAGTGAGTGGGGAAAAGGGGGAGGTTATAAAAGTTCTTAAAAAAAAGAATAATGCTAACATACAACAATTTTCAAGCAAATCATGGAACAATGTAACTTTATGATAATGCAATAGAACACCACCCGTTCTCGCATACAATATACAATTTTTTTTTCAATCATCCTGCATCAGTAAACGTACTCTGACTTACTTCCTTTAACTGTATCGGATTCTGTATAAAACCTCAACATTATTATTAAAACTCTCACCAACAACTAGTACCCTGGGGGAAATCTGTCATACCTGGTGGGCGTCCCACACGCAGGCAGAGCGAGGGACGTACCTGTCATACCCGGCAAGGTCTATCATGCGGGGCAGAGCCTCAAAAACTGTCATACCTGGCGGACCACTCAACGCCCAGGCAGAGCCAATAAAATCTGTCATACGCATGGTAGAGCCAAAATTGAAACTGTCATACCGGCGGAATCCTGCATCGCTCGGGCAGAGCCAATAATCTGTATCTCTGGGGGATGGGTACTTCGTAGGGTGGTTTTAGCACCATAACAATCTCATGCATAATCTCAAGTAACATATAAGTCAATAACACATTACCTATGTGTTTATAAATCATGCATATAGACATAATATTCAAAAATCACATATAAGGGTGAAACTGCAATTTCTAAACATGTTTCAGAAATTGAGGGTTTACCCAGATAAAAAAAAAAAAATTACTTCAATATCACATTACCACATCATTGTCCGACACCAATCTCTACGTATGGCTTCACCTCCATTAACAAAGGCATCAGATTTAATTTTACTATGAAGAGCCATATATATATATATATCATTACCACCATTTAACCATTTCAAATTTTTGGGAGTTTGTCAACATATTCATAAGCCAAGGTTCCAATGTGTAATTAATAATTTAATCTTATAAAACAACGGAGTTATAATACATATATGAATATAATATATCATACTAAAGTGTGTAGGGCCCTCCCTTACTAGACAAAACATCACTCAAGCTGCCTTAATTTCCCAGCATTTCCAAACACAAATCAACAACACTCACACCACTAATTCTAGCCGAGTAAGCAAATGGGGTGTCCAACAAAACACGGAATTAAAAACAAAATAGATCATCTTCTAATATGACTCCAGAAGCAAAACAATAAAAAAAAAAGAACCTACTCAAGCATTACTAATATCTTGTCCAGCCGAAATTAAATTTGCATACATAAATTTCCAGCAACATCACCAATAGACAGAGCAGCCGAAAGCAAAAAGAACTAACATCCCACAATATCATGTTTAATACAATCTTTTTGCTCAAATATGAAAAGCAAATCAAAACTTTAACATGCAAGGATCATTAACATGCAAGGACATTAGGCAACGTTTTAGGGAAAATAGTTTTGGATCCACTCACTCTTCTATCCTATAGTTGGCTGCCTATTACAGTGCTTGGATTTCGATCTCCACCGTTCAGAATGTAGAGCTGTGTTTCATGAACAACATATCCGAAAATCAGCAGATCGGACGGCGAATGAGCCTAGATCACGATTTGATGATCCACTGTCACAGACTTAAAAACTAATAAACTCTCCCTTTCTCTTTGTTCTTCTCTTTCTCTCACTATCTCTCGGCCAAACCACTCTTTTCTTTCTTCTCCCCTTTTTTTTTTCTTCTTTTTCTTTTCTTTCTCCTTTCTCTCCTTCTTCTTTCTTTCTCTTCTTTCTTCTGCTCCGTTTCTCTTCTTCCTTGGGCGAAACTGCCCAGTTCTTCCTTCTCCTTTTTAAACAAAAGTTTCTAAAATTTATTTCTGCCCCCCAATTCCTCTAAATTTCAGTTTAACCCAGCCACATAAGCTTTCCCTAGCAAAAATGTCCAAATTTTTCCCTCTTGATACATGCAAACCCATCAGGATTTATTTCTTTGATTTCACCCCCTTAACACAGCTTTCAAAACTGACAGAAATACCCCTATCTTACCACAATACCAAAAAATCAAATTAAAAAAAAAGAATTAATTAACTTAAATACAATTCATGATCTAACAAAAATCAGGAATGGGGTTTTACAGGGTAGTCCTCATTTTCTGATATACCAACAGTTTTCATACCCCAAGGGTTCCGCGCCTTCCAGAGTATAGCTTGATACAATTTTTTACGGTCTTCATTGAACCTTGTATCATCTGTAAAGGTGAAACAAGAAGGAAGTTTTATATGTAAAAACTAATTCATTTAAACATATAGTGCTGATGTAAATATATAATAATATTAAACATATGAACTATATATACAAAAGGTCACGCTATTCGTACATAAATTGAATAGACACTCTGTATGCCATTGCTAATATTTGAAACTGTAATTCTTACTTTACATAAATATACTTACTTTACTACAAAAGGCGACCTTTATAAATAATAAATCAGTTGAAGAACCGTTAAAAGGGTGGTTAAAAAATATATGTTTCTGAAAATAGAGAAAATCTGCAGTAGCCGGTGGTACAAATCAGAATGCTGATTTGGTACCACAAACTAATAATAAACTGACATGTGTGAATTTATTTAAATTAGATAATAAAATTAAGGACTAGACAAAAATAAACAATAAAACTAAGGATGATAGTGCAGTACAGTACATGGCCAAACTAAGTGAATTCGACAAATGCTTTTTCAGTGTTTATTGCGGCAAGAAACCGATGAACTTGTAAAGTTGTAGTGCCTAACATAAATCAAGACCGGTTTTTCCGAACTGAAACGGTAACAAATGCTCTCCGTCTTGCAAGTGGACAAGTGATAAAAAATGTTTGAGTGGGTTGATTTGAAATCATTGAGTTGGATTGTTTTTTAGGGAAAAAAGTATATCAGATTTATGGTGTGTTTGCTTCATTTGGATAATTACTTTGTTGACTGAGTGTTTGTTGACTTGAAAAAATTACACTAGGTTAATAAAAATTGGGTGAGGGAGATGGCAGAGGAGGAGCTGAAAAATTAAAACTGGGTTAATAAAAAAATAGGGTAAGGAGGCGATGTCAGAGAAGGTTGAGGCAATGGCTGAAGAAAAAATGGGGGAAGGAGAGGAGGCTATGGCAGAGAAGGTTGAGGCAATGGCGGAAGAAAAACCTAGGGGAAAGAGCCTGGCAAAGAGGGTTGAAGCTATGGCGGAAGAAAAAAAGGGAAAGGAGGCGCTACCGCGCTGGCGATACGGTTGAGGCAATGATGGATGATAAAGTGTTTTAATTGGATTATAATTTTTGATAATATTAAAATAAATTTTTTAATGCATTTGACACATGTCAGTTTATTATTAGTTTGTGGTACCAACTTAGCATTCTGAGTTGGTACCTCTAGGTTACTCTAGATTTTCTTCAAAAGAAAAAGATATAAGAGTGATTTATGAACAGAAAATTAAAAAAAAATATATTTGTTTTCCGGATATTAAGACGTATCTTAGGAGGGGATGTGACTTCTCTGACACTTAATATCGTAAATCATAAATACCTTGACCCAAATAATATGAAAAAAAAAAAAAAAAAAAAGCTTCTTAGTACAAGTCATCGTGATCTCAAATTATATTTATTTTAGTCATTTTAATGAAATTTAATGTTAACTTTAAACCTTTAAATTTTAACCAATCTTTTTTCAAAATGAAATTAACTCTTGAGAGTTAAATTGCAAAAAATTCTAAAATGTTAATCTCACGGTTGATCGCCTATTTTAATGGGCACTTCTTATGCACTTATATTACAATAAATAAATTAATTTTCTCTTTGTTTAGTTAATACCAAAACGATTGCTAGGAAATTTTTATGACGTAAAAATGAAAGGATATTCAAAATGATTCATCTTTAATAATATGAAATAAAATAATAAGCAATTTACAAGATAATATCAAAATGTACCATCGTTTTCTTGAAGAACAAGTGTCTCATTCTCAACTATTTCGTTGGATGACCCTTCTTTCGATACAGCTGTTGTATCTCTCACTGTTTCATCAGTCAAAATTTTATCATAATTAATTCTTATGTGTTTATATAAAATTAGATAAACAAATTAATTTCCTTTTTCTATAGATAATCTAAAGAAATTGTTAAAAACAGTTTAAATACATGAAATTACTGTCTAAACATTGCATCTTTGAAAGTGAAAATAATATTAAAAATAAAATAATAATATAACGTGTAGTTTAGAAGGTAATTTAGAATAGTACCGTCTTGTTCTTGAGAGTAAGGAGATGTCAAAACTCAAAAGTTCATCCTTTTATTAATGTAACTCAATTTCTAGTGCAATGTTAACTCACACTTTATCATCGATCATTGGACATTTTTGTGATAAAACCTTTAAGGAACTTTATGCATTTAGATGTAATTTGAGTTCAATGTCATACTTTAAAGTATTTTTAATGAAATACTTATTGCTAATATCAAGTGAATAACATATACATATATAAGGTTAAACAATTGAACATAACACAAATTCGTAGTCATGAATACAGTATTGCAATCAAATAAATTTGAGAAATAAGGTAGAGATCATTATTTTTAACACCAACTCAACAACTAAACTATTAAATTACATGGATTAATATCCAAATATTTCTTTTACATGAAACTTGATCCCGTTAGAAATATTACTAGTCTAAACTTACTCTTTGATCGATCCTAAAACTCCTTGTCGTCTTACCAAAAGTTAGTAGCCTAAAGGGTGCTATTTTCTCTTCCCTCTTTTACCATTATCTTTAATTCTTAATATTAGTACCCTTAGCTAAAAACCTTTTAATTCTTAACATTAATTTTAGATAAAATTCAAAATTGAATTAGTTCTGAAAGTTTATGTTACAAAAGTTCTAATTTTTTTCGTAATCTCAAAAAATCCTAATGCGCTTATAGAATGACAACAATAACAATAACAAAAAAGTAGACTTCTTATTAAAAATAAAATGGTTGGAAAAGAAGTTTAAAGACATAAATATTAAAGGATGCTCAAAACAATGCATCTTTAAAAGTATAAATTAAAATGATAGGCAATATAAAAGGTAATATTAAAATGTACCAGGCAAGTCTTGAGGAGGAGATGTCTCATTCTCTAATTTTTCATCTGATGAACTATTCTCTGATGCAATTGTTGTATCAGTCACTATTTCATAAACAACATTTAGTGATAATTAACCAAGACGATTATTAAAGAAGTTTAATGATGTGATAGGATTGATGCTCAAACAATCATTCTTTTTAAGTTTAAAACAATATCACGTTAAATTTAAGAGGTAATATTGACTCATACCACCTTGTTCTTGAGGAGGAGATGTCATAAGTTCATCTTTCTTGTCATATGACTCGATTTCTGGTGCAATGTCAATCTTCACTTCATCGGTTGACATTTTTGTGCTAACATTGTAATGAACTTTAGGTAATTAGACGCTTGTCAAATTTAATTTATAAGACAACGTATTGGGGATTAAGTCTTTATAAACTTGTATTTTACAATCTTTCCAAGTTTAATTAATAAAAACATTTACTCATAATTATTCATAATATCAAGTGAATGAGAAACATATATAAGTTTAAGCACTTGAGCTATTGAAATTAAAAAATAATAATAATAATAAAAAAAAAATTGATCATTAATGAGATGAAATTTGTATTTGAGAAACTTTAATGTAAAATTAGCAACTTCTAAATTGTTAGATTACATTAAATCAATGTTCAAGAATTTATGTTAGAGGAGGTTGATTCTTTCAGAATTAGGTATAAAATTAGTAGTCTTAAGGCTGTTGCTTGTCGTTTTGTTGAAGTATGGCTCATAGTGTTTTTAGTTTTTCGTTATGGGCAATATTGTAATTTTGTGCCTTAGTTTTGGGTATTATTCAAATAATCAAATTTTATATAAGGCTCATTTGAGATGATTAAATTAGAAATGAAAAGTGGGTGGTAAAGGTCCATTTGATACTACTTTAAATAGAGCTTATGAAAGAAAAGCTTATAGAAGAACTTTTTAGAGTAGAATTTTTGTGAAAAATTTATTAGTTGTTGTTTGGCTAAGAAAAAAAGTAAAAGACTTTCTAGTATTAATGTACTAAAAATCGTTTTAATATAAAAGAATAGATCAATAGAATTTTTATAAACTTGAATATGGATATTTTTTAAATTTCAACATTTTTCATAAGCTTTTTTGACTTTTCTACTGACTAGAAAAACTTATTTAAAGCTACGAGCACTTTTGAAATTCTTTTCAAAAATGGTTTTGATATAATTTTCTTTTAGACAAGACTCTTTGCACTAAACAAAGAAAGGACTCTTTACACCCGTTTACTAAATTCAAAAATCAATTGATTTTAGTTTAAAAGTTAGATGTTTATATATCTCTATCATTAAAACAAATATATATATAGTACTATTAAGGATAACTGAATTAATAAAAGTGATTTAAAATTTAAATGTTCAAATTGCAGTACAGTAATTTAGTGGGTGTAGATAGCTTTATCCTTTTCTCTCTCTTCTCTTCCTCCACTTTTGCACCTTTCTCTCTCATCACACCTATCCTATGAGATTTGATATTATTTCATGCTTAATTTCCATGCCCTTTGTTATATTAATTCCTGTTCAACAGTTAATTCTTTATCAAAATTAAAATTAATAATGTTTTACCATCATTATTATTTATATGCTTATTTTAAATTTTGGTCGCATAGCTTGTGGATTAGATAATTAAAAAGGAAAATTCTATTGACTTCTAACGAAGTTTGTTAAGTAGATCTCATGAAGTTAATTTTGATATTCATCTTGTCCATTTATTTTACATAAAATCTTAACTAACATCAATTTCAAGAGCATTTTGCTCCTCATGTACACTTACAGATCTTACACTATGAAAAAAAATGTGAAAAAAAAGCAGAAGAAATGGGTTAAAGGGGTTACCTCTTTTGGTACCTAAAGAGATGATGCAATCTGCAGCTGCAAATTAATGGAGCTCAAGTGGAGCGTAGAGAGAATATAGATGATAAAGTAGAAGCAGCTGGATGATAAGTGTGGGGCTAATTAGCAAGAGAAATCATATATGAGATATTTAATAAGTGGACACCAACAAGTCTGATTGATGAGTGTGGGGGCATAAGCGAGAAACACATGTATTTAACATCTATTTCCAAGAGAAGCGCCAAATGATATTTTATCTCTACAGGAATAATATTATTACAACGTACATTTAAGTAAGAGCATGTTTGGAGATGCTCTATATTTTGAAGAGTATCTTTATTAATTTTAAAATAAAAAAAATATAATTTTATTCAATCTAATAGACTCCTTAAATTTAATGAAGATACTCTTTATTTTTAAGAAAGATACTTAATGGGAGAGAGAATTAATAAATAAAATGTATAGGAACTTGTAGTTTATTAATTAAAATTAGGATAGAAAGTGAAATTTGACTCTCTAAATGTGGAGAGTCAAACTCACTCTCTAATTTATATTTTAAAGATAAAGAGTCTGTTGAACTCTTATTTTTATGGATAAATTTTTTATAATAAATAGTTTGGATCATATAAAGAGTTTTTTGTAGATGCTCTAATATCTTAATATATATATAGAATATGATTAGACATGTTTCAACCAAACTCATTCCTAAATTTTGCAAAATCCATCACTTAACACCCTCTTGCTGACTCAGTTATATTTCTTTTATTCAATTTCCAAAAATGAATAATTTACCCTTATTTTCTAACTTTAAATGAGTTGGATTAAAAACAAATAAAATCCATCAAGCGAACAAACTAACACCAACCATATTCATTACATATTTATTACCCGCTTGCCCAATAGCTCCAATCCACCTCCATTTCCCACTTAACCCAAACAAAATTACAAAAATTACAAATAGAATTTTTTTTTTTTCCAGTAAAAGAAAAAATACAACAGAAAAATCTCTAAAAATATAAAAAACTAGATGAAAAGCCCGCATGTTACGTGGGTATGTTTATTGGATGATGTTGAAACAGTTTGTAAACAAATGTTTAAACATTTATGCACAAAGATTTGTTTGAACTTGGAATTCTGAGAGGAACATGACTTGGAAATTTTTAGAAAAAAGAATATGGGAGAGTATTAGAATTTGAAGCTGAGCATCCAAAGGATTTTGATAGGACGTACTATTCAATTTTGAATGAGAGTACGGAAACATTTAATCTCTTAGTTCATATGTATTTTAGCGACAGTATTTTTGCAACTGCTAATAACTTTGAATATTCAATATGTTTTGAACAATGTGATGTTTATAAACATCAAGAAGCCTAACCATTTAGATTTGTTAGATTTTATTAGATTTTTATTTTTATTTAAGTTATGGTTCGATAACTTGCTTATTTCAATTAAACATCCATTTAAGTTATGGTTCAGCAAGTGATTTATTACAATTAAAAATGGTTTAGCATATTTTTTGAATATGTAACAGTAATAGTGATTGGTGGATTTCTTAATCATGGTTCAACATTATTACAAACGGAAAAATCATGATAAACTATTGCATATTATAATTATCATAATACACTATCTCTTGTTGATTTACAACAGCAGTTAGACTTCAATTCAAACATAAAAATGTATGATTTGTTTTACCGCACACCATTCAAACCATATACAATTAAACACCTAATGTAATTCAAAGTAATATATTATTCTCTGCAAATATATATTTAATCTGATACAAGATCACCTTATCAATTATTACATGATTACAATATTTTCGTTGTCATTATGTTAAAATGCTGAACCATTGAATCAAGTTATTATCTAAAAGTTTGTTTCCTTTTGCTGTTTAATATAAATTCAATCGATTTATATTGCACTTCTTTCATGGATAGAACGATTGAATCAAATAGATAGTAGATACTTGCTATACACAGATAAGTATACTTTTCCAATAGCTTTCCTTACCCATATGAAAGCAATTTAATGCGATCGAGTTTTAGTTGACTTGAGTTTGTTCGAGTTCATCGTATGTGATTTGTTAATTTGATTGGAAATAGTTTTTCATGGGTTCTTATCATAAACTCTTTGAGCCTTTCATCAATCAATGATTTTTATACTATAGGTTGAAATGTTAACGGTCTTGATGTTTTTGTGCTGAATCATTGTACATGTTGTAGGTTCCATAATCTTCACACGGTGAAATTCCTCTTAGCAATATACTTTCCAGGTGCAGTATAACCATTATTGAACATATCATAACAACATTGGTACACGAAAAGTTCTCACCACCTTAGTATTAGATTTAAAACAATTGTTATGATTTATGTACACCACTTATATACAATAAGCAAGCACCTAGAAGTTGTAAACTCTAGAACATCAAGAATTTGATAATAGCAAAAGAACTGCTGTTGATAATCATGGTAGAGCATCTTGAGAATTACAATCTTTAGAATGGAAATAAGTTTATCTTCCCGCACAATCTTCAGATAGTCTCCAACCAAGTCCTCCACACAAAACAGCAAATAAATCTCTACAAACAATTCTAATGCCTACTCCCTAAAACCTACCAAAATGACCTTACAATTGGTTGATCGATCAATGAAATATCCAAAAGTTATTATTGAAGATATTTTAGTTCAATTTGATAAACTGATTGTTCTTGTGGATTTTGTAGTGATGGATATGGAGGCATCGTCGAATGGCCACAACGAGGACAGTTATAGACATTTAGAATAGGAAATTACGAATGAAAGTGCTTGATCAAACTATAGAATGTTTAGTTTTTCATTTCGTGCCTTCACCTTCTAAAGCTAATGCACGCTTTAATGTTGAATCTTTAAACCCAATTACTATTTCTAGTTTTCTGTAGGATAAGATAGAAGAAAAATAGGGGTTAGCTTTGATTGTTGAGGACAGAGATTTTGATGAAGCAAAAGCAAAGGCATATTTGGAGGCTATTAACAGAACAAGATCTAAGATCTCTACCGTTGAGTTAAGCATATCGCCTTGATAGATAGACCAAGCATCCCATCTAACTTAAGATGTTAAACGAGCACTTTTTGGGAGGCAACTCGAGGATTTCATTTTTCTTCATTTTTAGTTTATTCAATTTATTGTTTCAGCTTTATTAGAATTTTTTTATTTTTCTGTATTTAATCCTTTTGTTTTTGAATTTTCATGGAATTCTAACACTTGTTTTATTTTTTTTTCCAGAAATTCCAGTTCACACTGCGATGCAAAAAGCTCACACTGTGGCACATGTTGGCGTTATGGACCTAGTTAAATTCGCATTTACATCGCGACGCAAGTCTACTGCACTGCGGTGCATATCGTCGATTTTGAATTTGAGAAAACCATTTGACGCCGCGATGCATATCGGTGATGTTCGTGTGTGCGCCCAAAAATTCGTATGACACCACGACGCAACATGATTTCTATATAAAGAACAGACCTTTTATTTTTGTGCTGTAGCGCGTTTCTCTCAAAATTTCTCATCGTTATTCACCAAATTGGCTAAGATTTCATTGAAATCATTCCTTGCACATCCTACACACTCCCTCATCACCGATTTTGCAGATTTCTGGATCAATTGAGTGCTGAATCAAAATTGGGCACTTCTTGATCTTAGGTAATTATTTCCAATCTGAGGTATTCGATTGTTGTTTTTGCTTGGGTAAGCATCCTTGATCACTCATTTGTCATTTCCTGGATATTTGATTGCAAAAATTTTGTTTTGATTGCTTTGGGTGTTGATTGAGCGGGATAGTGATTGAATTGTGAGTTTATTGTATTATGTGTTGAGATTGGGAGTTAGTTGTTGATTGATTGCCGTATAATTGGGCAGTGGGTGAGATTGTTTGAGGAGTAGTGTTGATTTTTAATTTGTGGAAGTGTCGATATTCTAATTTTTATATGGCATCAAATAAATGGAGTAGGAATGTGGCTAGTTTGAGTAGGAGTCATGGGGCTGCCCCACAGGACACCCATGACAATATATTTGTAAGTGCGAGGTTGTTGCTAATAGTAGAAGTTCCGTTGATGGATGGGGTTTTGAGTTTGAGGGACCTTTCCCTGGGATTATTGACATTATTAGGGACCTAGGATGGGGAGCATTTATAGCCCACCTGGAAGCCACTGTTGAGCCTCTAGTTATGGAGTTCTATGCGAACGCTTCAAGAGCCGAGTAGGGATTATTATGATTAGGGGAAAGGAGGTGAGTTTTTCTACAGAGATGATCAACAAATATTATGGGTTGTTGGAATTCCACCTGAGCAAGATGAATTCTCCGCATTCGTCGAGGAACTGAAGTATGATCCGGTGCTTCAGTGCTTGAAAAAGGGTCAGGGAGAATGGATTATTGGCTGTAATGGCAAACATAAGGGTTTCTTTGCAACATCTCTCACCTTCAATCATAGGTTATGGTAGTACTTCGTCTGTGCCAAGATTTACCCTATGACACATCACAGCATGGTGGACAATGAGAGAGCCTTCATGTTTTTTGCTATCACTCAACGTATGTTGATGAACATTGGTCAGGTTATTTATTTCAGGATTATGCATGCTGTTCGACCTTCTGGGGTGTCCTACTTATTTTCGAGCCTTGTCACTACTTTGTGCATTTCCGCAGGGGTTCCATATAGAGATGATGAAGTGAAGAGGTAGCCACCTCTGAAGTTAACACTGAAGTATCTACAGAAGATCCACAGTGGGCCCAAGAGAGCTAGTACCAGTTGACAATAGTGCGGACATAGAGCTCCATGCTCGTCAACATCATCCACCCAGCCTGCACTTGATTAGATGGATAGTATGAGAGCACAAATTGCCAGAGTGTCCAATGAGGTTTCCCAGATAAGAGAGTGGCAGTCATGGGCTATGAGTTAGATGACCTATTAGGTTGAGTGCTATACCATGCAGTGGATCCCGGGCAGTTTGTATTTCTAATATATCTAAGAGGGTATGAGCCGAGAGCACTTGAGGGAGCACACTCCAAGGCTGATGATGTATGGGGTGCTAGTGATGATGATGAGGAAGGTGGAGATCATATGAATGATGCTGGAGAGGAGTGAGAGTGGAGTGGATGAGGACTTATGGATGT